GGTTATAGAACGAACTTTTCATTCACCAAACGTTCACTGCTTACTACTATCTTTTTCTGACTAGTTAATGTAGATACACTTTTGAAATCGTTACTAAAAGTATTTTTTTTTCGCACCAGGTTGACACAGATCATTTGATTTCCTAATAATAATTATACCTACGTTCAGGTATCGATTCAATTTTTACGTTTTCCAAATCAAACTGGGCGGCGTAACAGTCATTGGCCAAGTTTCCAATGGTCTCTCCGATGTTCTCGCTGCTCTTAGTGGCCAGTATTAATTTACATTTGTCGACTAGAGCTATCATGGACTGATCTAATATAATACAAACAAATAGAAAACAAAAAAAAAAAAACAAACATTGAATTTTACGCGTTTTTTTGGCCAAGAGTAGCACAATTCGCATATGATGATAGTATATGTATACGTATCAGATTGGTATGAATAAAGTATGAAAAATTATACGCCCTAGAGAGAAAAAAAAAACTATAGGATTTTTTGACGTATTCAGAACTCGCAGAGGGGTGCGTCGCGTATATGCTCCGCGATACAAATATTTTTATTTCTCCTCGTCCCTGCGATTAATCTCTTAATGGATATACCGTGTACTCAGTAGGGAGGAGAGGGTGAGGGGAATAAAAGTATCCCTCGTATAAATATTATCCTGTGACGACAACACGAGACAACACCGTTGTGACGTTAGACTTTCTATAGGGGAAATGGTTACGCTAGATTGAAACCATGCCGATGACAATCATTGCAACCCGACCCCATATCTGACCTTTAAGGTATCAACCAATCCAACAGGATCGACTACTCAACGATTTTCTATAGACCAAATTCGTTTTTGAAGCTTAACTACAAGTATATTTTTCCGACATACTTGATGTACTTGGCGGTCACGTGTAAGATCGGCACTTTCTTGCCAGTTGCAATCGTCACCCACGTGGGGGGAATGTGGGATACGGTCCTTCAGGTTTATCGTCGTTTTGAAAGCTACCAGAAAAGTTAGCAGCAATCAAAAGTGACAAGTTTTAAAACTCGTGGTATTTACATGAATAACGGGGGTGGTTTTACTGGAATATATATATAGGGGAAAAAAGTGAACATTTTTCAAAAACAATAAAACTTGCTCGAGTAGAAGAATGTGTATAAATGTCCACCGACGATCAAGTCGATGTCGTTCACTTCCGTGGCGACGCGTGACGATTTAGTCGATGTCGATACCGCTGTGCCTTAACCACACGATGACTTGGCTACCTCTGCTTTTAGTGAAGCGATTTCATCAGTAAACTTAGTGTGATCCAGTTTAGTATTAATTTTAATAAACATTTTTCAAAAAAATGGATCCTGAAAACTTTTTATCACAAATACCGCACGCAAAAAAAAAAACAAAAATATACATTCGGGTAACTACCTGAAAGTTAAAAATTCTTTTAAGACATTTAATTATAAAAATGGAACAATTATTCAAAATTTAAAATTCGAATTGATATTATACATAAATGTCGGATCTTGTAATAATATTAGTTGCTGAATATCTAGGATCACGACATCTATAGCCAACACGAACTTCTCTCGTCACTTTAGTACTTTATCACTTTATAAACGGGGAGAGAGTATGGAATCAGTAAAGTATAAGACTAAGAATAAATATTCGTAAAATGAATACACAAATAATATTTTTATTTTTTTTTTAAATTTAAAATTTCAATATTGTTTATAGGTAAGGGTTTTAATATTTGAATATAATATTCATATTGCCGAACAATGTGAAACGGTAAACTTTTTGACAGTATCTTGTATGAAATTCTATTTTAGTCCAATCTGTAAACTTGCTTTGACTCCGGAGACCGGAAAAGGATGAAGGGAGAACGTGAGAGGAGAGTTCGCGTTTACAATTGTATAACAACAATCGACGTGTGAACAATAAAGTGACGACAACGTAAGTTTCGGCGCAATATAACGTGATGTTGCTCAGTTGCTGCGATTGGATTTTTTATCAGCATGTCAAAACTTTAGCCCGCATAGGTACATAACCCTATATACTGATAAATAACGAAGTCATATACCGTGCATACCATTACTACGGTAACATTAAATCTATATAATATCTGTACACCGTCGCCATGTCATTCGGTTGACCGTGATCTGCATGAACAATAGCAGACCCTCCGGTTTGTTATTGAACTCGTGATTACCCAACTATTGTATGGAAAAACCGAGAATATATATTGGTTTAACGATTCCGGTTAATTATTTTAGATCTAGAATTAATTTGTTGTGATTAACATTTTTTTGCAAGCTTTTTCGTGATAAATTATTTTATTTTTCAAACTAACATTTATCAATGCGTTATGGATTTGTCTCATGTTAATGATGCGCGTGCAGTCATTTATATATTAAAATAAATACCTATATTAATATATAATTTACACCAGACATCTTTATTAATGTAGTATAGTAGCGTAATCAGTTGTCAAACCTTGTTTTTATACTAGCATACAGTTTTGCAAAACGTCTTGGCTATCTTTTAGTGAGCATCTTATTGTAAAATTTACATAATTTCAATCAGAGGACCGATTACTATTATTAAGTTAAGTTGGGTCATGGTTAAAGGTTATGAACCACCTATCGAATTTTATAAGGTAGGGGGGTATGACTGGTATGAGTCAGTGTAATGGACAGCACCTAAATGTAAACCGAAATCTTTATATTAATCTGTTATTTGTATTTTATCGTCACTCGGTCAAATGAAAATATGCCGATGATGCGCTGACACAGTTTACGTTAATAAGAACGACGAGGCAGCGATACTCGTTTTTCCATTAGGGTAATTCAAATTAAGGCGTATTCGTGGACAAAAAACAAAAACGGTCTATACATATATATATATATATATGAATGAGTCTTGTCGTAAAAAAATAACAAAAAAATATTGCAATAAGTTGCGTTTGTTTGCCCCAAAGAGAATATTATAATAGGTACACGACATTCAGAAAGAATCGAGTGAGATCCCCCCGAGCGTCACCCGTTCGAAAAAAAAAAAATATCAAAAAGATTTTTTAGCCAACTAACATAACATTTGTATTAATAATATTATTATTATTATTATGATTCATGCGTTTAAATCCAAAGGAAAATAATCCACGAAAATAATGTACGAGAGATTATATCATACTCACATATATATATACTATACATAGTAAGCGGGAAGGACGGATTTTAAGGGTTTTTATGTCATTCGGATACAAAATACCAAAATGTCGGATTTAAAATAATTATATTTTAGTAAATTGTTTACATTATATTATAGTAAAAATATAGTGTCATTGTGGATTACCTGCTATAAAAACTAGTTTAATTTTAAGTAAAACTAGATACAGAAACAAACCAATGAAATAGTCACAATTGTTTCTTAAAATTCTATCAAAAAACATTATTAATTTCAGAAAAATGTATGATTGACTATCGTATTTCTATTCTACATTAAAATCAATTTATTATACTATCTTATTATAAGTCGGTCAATTAAATCTTATGTAACGTTAATTTTATACAAATTGATTTCTCCGTCTTGCCATAGTATTTTTTTAAACTCAGGACTCCCCAATCGGTTAACACGTCAACGTTTTAGACGTGGAATAAAACATTGTTGAAAATTTAAAATCGATTAAATCATAAACGCCGCGTTGCGTCATACATATTTGTTATTTCACTAATAATTTTGTTTCTAATGATTCCCAATTATTTCAATAATCTCTTGGAAAATCATAAAATGATCTATATAATCTACCGACTAGATAAAAGTTTCATTCAGAAAAGGTGTTATACTCTATACATTGGAACAAGATTTCTTTTTGAGAAGTTGTTTGTAGATAAAAAAATAAATTATAAACACACATCATAGTAAAACCAATAAATCCTTCTCTACGCTCTGCATCTAAAAGAGGAGCTTATATTGAACTTTGTAAATTAATCTGTGTCATTTCTAAGAAAAAACATTATCATATTTTTAAAAAATAGATAACCACGAACCATAATATACATTATTATATAGCAAATTATACAACAGAAACTTTGCACCAAAATCTAATAACAATTAACAAGAAAACGAATGAAAACAAATAATCATATCAATTCACTAGTGACAACTGATAATATTAACAAATTAATAAAACCCTCAATTTAAAAATAATTTTTAACCTGGGTTTACATTTAATAAAAGAGGGAGGGGGAAAATGGAGAAGTAAATTTAAATTTTGGTAGGGCTACCTTTGCCCTTTGCCTCTAACCTCACTCTTTCTACTATGCGTTATAAACGTTATAAAAGAAGAAAAATGAGTTCATAAAAATCATAATAAAATCAACGGGATTACTCCATAATAATACGTTTGCTATAACGACGAAAATAGAACATTGATATACATATTTCATAATTCGCGATAAAATGTATCCACAAACAAAATAACATTTCCCGTTTTTGTGAAGAATACTTTGATTTTTTTTTTTTTTATTGTTAATATTATTCGAATGTAAAACAGGAATAATACGGTTTTGATCGGTTTTCGAAATATATTATAATAATGTTATATTCAAAACATACGATTTTCGTTTCAAATGCCTTTTTACATTCACACAAATGTTATTGTTCGGCGATAAGAATATACTTATATATTATTATTCTATTTTATAACCACTCAAAAATTATGCAATGCAACAATGCAACAATCGTTTTCGAATATACATACTATGTATGTAATATATTATATTTCAACCAAAAATGTCCGTTTTTCTAGTACTATATGTATTATATTGAACGGTTTACTTTCAAGAATTCCGTTTTTAGTTTCTCAAGCATAACGTCGTAAAATACGTTTGGTAGATATATAATTTTTGGCTGTCCCTTGTACCAAAAGCAATTTTCCGTGAAATGTTATTGAAGAAATTCGAGTAGGTTCCTACCACATAAAACAGAAATACTCTTAAAACAGAAGCATAGGACCTATTTTTTCCTTAGGGGGGCAAAAATTTAGATGGTGTAACATTTCTTAGTTATTCTCTCAATATGCATGTACGATGGTAGAGGACGACGGTAGTGGATCGTAGAAAACAGGGTCGTATCTTGGAATTTTCTATAGGGGGAGGGAAGGTCCAGTTTCATAAATAAAAAATGTGGATGATATATCTTTATAAGAAATTGCATTGAGTTAAACCTCAAAATTGTGAGAGTAAAATATTATATTTTCATGACAACACTATTGCAATTTTTCACGGGCTTTTAGCAATGTCGTTCAATATTTCATTGGGCGTGATGACAATATTTCGGTAACAACTTAATAGTACTAATCCATTGAGATGATCCTGTTTGACAAACAGCTAGATAAATAAAATTAAATCACTATTAATTTTTTATACATATCACTTTCATACTGTTTCTAAGGTAGGTATAGGTATTTATTCTTTTTAAACCAGAAAAAGATCTTTCTGGCGTTGAAGTAGAAACTGTTGAAGTAGACTGCACAAAATTTTTAATAAAAATAGATAACTTAAAGTATTATTCTAAATTAACTTCTTTAGTATTTTTAAAATTTATAAAAGTTTTATGTGTTAAAGCCCCTAATTTTAAATTCTGAGTGGAGCAAAGAAGCTTATGGTTTTACAAAGATATTTATTTTTTTTTTCTGAGGAAAACTTTTGTACCAGCAATTTTGTTCCATCTTTTAATGATAGCAATGTTTCTAAAAGGAAATTTCACTGGGGAGGTACTTTAAAGAGGTCATTTTTCTATTTTTTCCGAAATTTTCTCAGCAAATGTGAATAACTGGGAAAACCGAAAAAATCGGTACAAAATTAAACATATATTATTAAAGAAAATATATAGAGCCTATTTAATTATATTACTTTAGTGTGACATATATATTATTGACAAAGCATCACTATCAATTAAACTCCATTCAGAATCGTTTTTTCGTAAGCAATGGTTTATAGTTGCTTACAGGTATACATTATGTTATCTCTAATAGTGTCTGCATCCGTTTCCATTGGCTTTAAATCCGTGGGTTTAAATTTTGTCCATCTTTCCTCCCCTTTTTTCTCCATCCATGTTGGCTTTCCAGTGACTATAGGAAGTAAGTTGCCAGGCCAATTTCGCGTAAGTAAACTTCACGTTAAATTGAAATTTGTTTTTGTAAATCATATTACTTCACTGTAACGATCATCGGACTGGTGTATAAACAAATTATTCTAAATTACCACATTGCTATGGACATAAAATTAAGAAATAATATGTCTATTTCAAAAACCCCTTAAGTAGGTGTGATGATAACCTCATCCGTCTACGTCTTACAGATGTACGGCACAGTCATTTTGCGTTGCTTTTTATATGCTATTGCGGTGTTAGTTTTAATATCAGAGTGAATTGACTTATTATCGGACTTAAAGGTGAGAACATTATCTGCTCAATGTTGACGCAATTTTTCCAATTTAATTTATAAGAGAGCTTATGATTAATTGAGTATGTGAATTATCACAATTTAATAATGCTTGTATACCTCGCTTTTTGATGCCTGATGGCAAGCTTCCGTCTTTAATCATTTCTGAACGAGAATAATATTTGCGGTACAATTTCGTGACACTGAAACCCGGTAATCGTTTAAAGTTTACGCTAAAATTGATGCAAACGTGAAAATGGAAATCAAATAATAATTGTGTACTTCACCACACGATTTTCGCTGCACTTGGCTGCCCGTCTAAACTTTGAATCCGTTGAATAAGCACTAAGTGAACATTTTAAGAAACACTACATGTTTCACTCCAAAATATGAAATAATTATTAAAACACGTAATATTATAGAAATCATCACCATCGTCGTTTGAAAATAAAAAGTCAATTCGAGTTATAACGCGGCTATAATGATAAAGATTCAAAATATATTATAATAATCATTTCGAAATCGTTATTATTATAATTATTATTCAGGTATTCGACTATGATGAGGACGAAGAGAAATTTCAACGCTGATAAATTATTCACAAGAATTCAAAAATCCATCAAAATACACCGTACTTGTATACAAAACATAGATATATTTCATTTACTATATTTTTTTTCACAGAGAGAAATTTGTTTGATAAAAGTGAATTGTACAAGGTGAATATGCAAGGAAATAAGAGCAGGGATAATAATTAATCTATAATTAATAAGATAATAAGGACAATAAATATTTTTATTTAATTTTTATGTTTTGGTGAAAAATAACTTTTATTTTATTATTTTTGAAAAATTTGAAGATAGTTATAGAGTTAATTTTTCTGAAAACGTTGACGTTTCAAATTTTTATTTGTATTATATTTGTTATACTATAATTTTTAAAAGTTCTGAGAAAAAAAGTATACAGTCTACTCATAATAATCAAAATAACATTATATATAATAATTATAAATATAATTATATTAAAAATATTATAATTTATAAATAACAATTATTCTTATTATGACTAAATATTGAGTAAACACTTTGTTTCTCTGAATTATAAAAAATCACGAATTTAGAGAAAAAATAATTAATACGTCAAACTATCAAAAGTAATAAAATATATAAGTTATTTTTTAATTTGTTTACCAAACATATGTATTTAATTTAAATATAAATATAAGTATTTTATTCCTTATCCCTTTGAGTAATATTAAAAAAAAAAAAAAACAGAATTTTATTGTCTTTATTATCTCCGGAGATGTTATAATGGGTACATCTTCGTGGGACACCCTATATAACCCGTCTTAACCCAAAATCTTATCATTATATTTATTGAACTTAATACCTATACATAAATACATGCCTATGTTAGTATTTACGTTAGCATACGGTGAGTCATATCTACGTTTTTCGGACTTAAGTTTTATAAATTAAAATAAAAATCAATAACATTCAATTGAAGTTCGTAAAAATAACGGGGAAAAGATCCCTTTGTTCATGATGGATTCATAAAAATGATAGATTATAAATCGCGTATATATTCAAACGTACACTAATTCAAATTCAAGAATTCTCACAACTGACGAATTATTTTAAGGTATTGCGCATAATTTAAAGTTATTGCTCAAAGTTATTGTGTGTCTATAAATTTATTTATTTTATATTCAACTTTTTTCGTATAAATTACCGCGTTCATTTGAAAAGCGTCGAAATTACCCAATCGAAATGACAGGACACTAAACACTAAAACTAATACATTCCTCACTTCACTTAGAGGTCAGAATTTCAAACAATTGTAACGTTCGAAAAATAAATGCAGACTACTTTTATAGTATATACAATATTTTTATTTTCAATAATTTTTCATTAGTGGTTAAAGTTTTTCCTCCTATGAAGTGGTATTTCCGGTAAGATAATCGTTCCAAAACAAAATAACTGTTCTGAGACTGCACACTGTACACGAAAACCCGATGTTCAACAGACCGATACTCCGTCGTCGTTATATTGACGTGCAGGCGTAAATTTTGTTTGGAAAAGAAAAATACCTTCTCTTCTCCTTCGATTATTTACCGAATAATAGTCGGTATATAAACGATGGACGCAGAAAAATAAATCGATACCATTTATTTTTGGTTTTTATTATTATTATTATTATTTTTTTTGATTATTACTGCACATCAGGATTTGTTGCGTACTGAAATAACAACGTATCTACCGCGTATACGAACAAAAATATTATAACAACACTCGATTTATCTATCAATAGCATGAAGCACCTAATTAATTTTACTAGTCGATAATATTTACGTTCGAAAAAAATAAAATTATCTACTTGACCCAATTATAAGCGTCACCATGAAATTTATGACCAGTTCATTGCCAATAATCATCGCATAATATATTGTTTTTTTTTAAACCTTGTAAATTACTACAAATATCTGGTTCTATGAACAACACAATTAGTATACATTTTTCACAATTTTTTCAAAAAAAAATATGGACACTTCACACGTGGGTTGTCCACTGTCGTAGAAGTTGGGAAGGTAGAGGGGAAATTGAATGCATGTCCATACGCAACAATTAACTATTTCTAACGAAAAACGATTCTAAGCGGGTTCGGTTAATACAGTGTCAATAATAGTTTTGTCAACAATATATATGTATTTTATATTATGGTAAAATAATTTCAGGTTGAACATTCAATCCTTTATAAAAAGTGAAGCTCTCCAATTGTTCGGTCATGTTTGTGGAACTGGTGGTAAATTAGTAAAGGATGTATTGATATACAGAAAATGGTAATTTGGACCCAGGACTTGTTAGATGTACGTAATTGCATATTGGATAATGGCAGAAGTGGAGGTGACCGTAATTTTCGACAAGGCATATTAAAGGGTGAGACGGAAAATAATTGTGACAAAAGCGATGGTTCTCAATGAATTTGACAAGCTGAAAAGAAAAATGACACACTTTGTGCGTTTGGTGATTCTTCACACTATATTTTGTTTTTTTCGGAAAATTACTTTTATAAATACACAAAAGTTCATCATCTATGCTACAACTTCCTATCCGCATAAATTTCACCGCTATTTATACAAAAAATATATTATTTACTGTCCCACGAAATACTAAGGACACAAATAAAAAAAACTGCTCATCGCAGATAAAAACTTTTAAGTGATTCACTTGGAACTCAAAATTATAAACTTTCATATACCAACGACTGTTTCTGTATATTAATTATTTCTCGTTCTAGTATATTATTACTTATCGACTGCTGGTTTGGCCGGTTAAACTGTAAAAATAATTTCTCTATTTACAAATGAATTTATAGATACACATTTTAAACGTTTAGTTTATTTCGTAATTATTATATATATTACGATTCGAAGAATAGCGAAGGATCTGTTGGTTTTAATATGATGTGTTTTTTTTTTCTGTCAATGAACAACTTTTCTACCAGAAATCTTGCTCCAATAGAAAAACAACACAAACTATTTTTTTTTTTTATTTATAATCTTATTCGTTTTTTTTTTATTATCTCTGTAGTTTTTTTAATAATTGAGCAAAACTGAAAAATGTGTAGAAAGAACGGACAAATTTACGAAAATAATAATTTTATTATTTTAAATTTTGTTTTTTTAATTTAATTCAGTTATAAATACTTGAAATGTTGAAAGAAAACTTATATTTACTTTTCCTAAACATTATAAAACTTTTAAAACATTTAAGTCATTTTTGAGCTATTT